GCACTTTCCATGAAGTATTCTCTATTTCTTTCTATTTACGGTGAATTAATATCGACTAAAGGCTTTTTAAAGTTCTGTAAGCTTAAGCTTAGATCAAACCTCATACTAGGTCAGATCAGTGTCTCAGTCAAATCTTAATACAAACGTGCATAAACTAGCTTCATAAACTGCGCCGCTGGACCTCATGAAATTAGATATAAATACAATACTTACTCAGGCTTACCATATTTCGAGATGCAGCTCCCGAAAGCTATCAAGTAAGGCAAGGATCGCTTGAGCCTTTATAATTCTTGCACGCATCCAGCAAGGTAAAAAACAAAAACGATGCCATCCGAAATCGGATTATCGGCTTTGACAAGCGACGCATTTCTCAACCAAAAACCCAATAAACAAACCAGCCATGAATAAGAGAACACTCTTGATAGCAGCTGTATTTCATTTTGTACATCCAGTGGAAAAGACAGTTAAAAACATCATAAGTTGACTCAAAACTCTGTCAGCTTCAGCTGTCAAAGTAAACAACTTTCAAGATGATGCATAAATTTTAACCAAGAGCATAAAAATTGGACGTTGAGCATGACCAACACGTGACCATGGTAAGAAAAGGTCTTCCCCGCCTGTATTTAAAAAAAACTGGCTGAATTTTTGCGTCTGAGGTCAGTTTGAAATGAAAATCGTAATAGTGCGGGGCAATACTGACGTAAACACAACATATTTGATATGAATTTTAAAAAAGTAAACGTGAGCCTGCAATCATTTGAAAAGGAACAAATTGTCAGCGGATAACTTCAAGAACATACTCGACCTTGATAGGTCGACACCTGAGCCCGCGATACGGTCAGGTGATACTGGTCAGCGGATACCCTGTTTTGACAGCTGTCAATTGATGAGAACATTGATGTGCAATCAGCTTCCTCCTGGGCTCCCAAAGTAGCTAGAAAGTGTGAGAGTAAACATTGGTATGCCTGTGGTGCGGACGGACGGTCGCTCGGTCGGTCGGTCACGTGATAACTAAATTTTCTGGGATGGGTAGATTACCTTAGCTATGGGGCTCCGCTAAAAATGTAAACTGTATTTTAAAGAGAGCAACGTGTAAATACGGTGAATTGGTTAAGAGACTACAGTTTATTCTTGGAAATGCAATGTAGCACTCTCTACAGACAGATTATTCTATAATCGGGTAGAAGAAGGAGAGGGCAAATAAATCAGTGGCGGATCCAGGGGAGCGGCCCTGGGGGGCCTGCCCCCCCAACCCTTATTTTTAGACCAAACCGAGGCCCCAAAACAATTTTTTTTGGTAGACCGGCCCCCCCCCACCCCCCTAATCTCAAGGTCTGGATCCGGCACTGTAAATCACTCGTAAGGCCACACTTAGGTATGCCAGCTGTGTACGGGACCCATATCTCGCTAAGGATATCTTAAAACTGGAAAAGGTACAATGCAGATTAGCAAGATGGGTTAAGTCTTCTTTCTCAAGGTCCCGGGGGCTGTTACAAATTTACTTAATGAGTTGGGGTGGCTGCCCCTTCAGAGGCATAGACTAAATACAAGGGTGATTGCTTTTCGGAAGGCTCTTTATAAAGAACTTCATTAGCTTTCCTATGCCAGCCCATGTAATTTACAAACAGAGTAAAAAGGCAGTTCCATTCTAACAGGTTTATTCAGCCTTCAGTGTCTAGCAATGTTTACAAGTTCAGTTTTGTTTCTAGATTTTTGAAGGACTGCAATAACTTAGGCCAGGGCTGTCACTAGGGACCTGGGGAATTTCCCGCAGCTACTTGTTATTACCCCTGGATATTTTCTTGGGAAACAAAAGGAAGATGAGACTAAAAGATCTTTCTGGCTGTTCAGTTCTCCACCTACTAACTGCAAAAATCCGGCAGTTTGAAATCTTGGTGACAGCCCTGTTAAGCATTGATATTATGGAGGTTAACACACTGATTTCAACCTACAACAGAATGGATCTACAATGTAGTTGTATAAATTGATAGCAAGTTCTCACATCTCATTGAGAGAACTTGTTATGACTGACTAGTTGATCCCGGTTTCCTAACATGAGTAATTCTTATTTACTTATTTATTATTTAATATTCTGTTACTAGAGAGTGCTGACCAATTCATGTGTATGGACAACCTTTCTGAATTAAAACTATAGATATATATGTGACTAATCTAGTAAGGTTAGAGGAAAATGCTCTGCCTTGTACAATTTCCGATAATTTGCAATAAATGAGGAAATTTAACAAGTGATGAATAGAGTATTATATTTGCATATTGATTTCATTGTAGACCGCGAGTGGTTGTCCTTCTTTCCTTAGAGCCAGGCGCGGCGAGCGAAAAGGTAAAAGTATGCAAATAAAACGCAAAGAAAAGGAGAGATTATACTACCGTGCCTCAATAAGAGACTGCTCGCAGTCTAATTACATCGGGTCAATTCAATGGTGAATATAGGTAGCCGCTTACCATTGAACAAGACAATGCGATTCATCCACGACGATGCCAAGAATTCTTTTGCTTAAAAGTTGAAGAAAAGATTTGGCCGCGAACGATTCAAAAACTTCTGGACCTGCAAAAATAATGTCGAAATTGCATTCCTTTTTCAGTGACTCGACGTTTTCAGCTTCCAGTTTTTAAGATGAAAGACCAAAACGTCCACACGCTTCAGTCCAGGGGATCGTATGAACATGCCGCAGCCGCCATTTGATCGCTCTTGCAACCCTCAAGCTTCGTCCCCATTCACCTTTGGATACAGCGGGCTCGTTTTAAGGACACCAATTATAAGCGTAAGCAAATGCGCGAGGGCCTAAACTTGTTTTGAAACAGGTTTTACCTGTTCAAAGTTAATTAATTCGTGCACAGCGCTGGACGGCGGCTCGATCAAAGAAGGCAAACGGTTGCTCGCTGTGGTTTCTCTCCCGTAGCGTCCGGCCTGGAGAAACCACTGCTTGCAGTGTATTGTCCAGGTCAAGTCGGGATCTGAAATTTGATAGTAGCTTGTGGTATGTTAAAGCCAGTCTACTTCGCTTTCGTTAAGACCATGTTAGAGTTTTTTTGCAAACTACAGTATACATTTTGTTAAATCGCGAGCACATTCGCCAAGACCAACGAGGTAAATAATCGCGATGATAGCCTTTAGACACCCCATTTTGATGAGGGCAGACCCTGTGGCGAGCCCCCATGCACACTGATTGTTCAGCGGTCGCGCATGCTCATGCAAAAAAGACCCCTGTTAAAACAGTCAAAAAAGAACCTGAATAAAACTTATTTAATCGGGCTTTATTGGGTGGGATGCTCTCTCTTAAAGAAGTACAGTGTAATCAAGCACACTATAGAACAATACACAGTAAATGAAGTGAATGTAAATTCATATGATATACGTTAGACTCCAGAAAAACATGAACAGAAATGGACTTGCAAGTGCAGTTTTAGCGATGCAAGCATAGACATACATGGTCCTCAATAGAGGCGCATATGCATAGCATAAGAGATTATGCGTTGGTGAGGATGGCCTTAACAGAGGCATCAGAATAAACACACCAATAAAAGGTACATGTAAGCTTACGTTGCCGTGGAGAATTGTTTTTGTCAGGTTCCAGTTTGTTATATGATTTCCGTACGGCTTATTCATATGGAAGGCTTGCAGCAGTCATTTCGTACTATTTCACGCAAATAGTTGATGTGATGCGAATCGAAAAGGGAGACTTAAGCTTATATGGTCTCATATGATGGTCTAAACGTCCAAAGTTTCCGTCAAATGTATTGGAACTTACGTGACTGTAAGTCTATTTTACGTTGAACTGATCGTGAGTTATGATTGATTGCTGATCCGGCGATTTCGTGAATTGACAGTTTTATAGATTGATTTAAGTTGCTTTTAGTGAACGTTCTTAGGTTTAGTTTTTTAGTTGCGATAAGCCTATGGACACGAACGGATGGTTTTTATTTCTTTGATAATCAAGTTCTTACAAGCTAGAGAGATCCACTCTTCAGGTGCGATAATGTGTTGTTTCTTTTTCTTTGTATCATGATTGTATTATGACTTGACCAATTTTTATGCTTTTGTGATGCCAGTTTAGCTTAGATTTTGGAACCAATTAGAACATTGTGTAATCTTTTCTTGCAGAATAATTGTTTATTAAAGAAATCTCAAAGGCTATGATGCGATTGTTTCCTTCTGTACCAAAATTTCTGAAGCCGACCTATAGGCAGATAGAGGGTTTTACTCTTTGGTAATTAGGAGCAACCGGACCGATGAGCGATATCGAAGAAGAATCCGTGTCCACCCATGCCGCTGGATCCACCAAGGAGTCAGTGGGACCCTCCGAGGACCGTGTAGTAATCTTAAAAAACAAGCGAAAGCAACTCAGGGGACGAGTCACACGTGCGATCAAAAGAATTCGCAAATTTATTTCTGAACAAACCCAAACAAAGGAAATCGAAGAACTTAGAAAGGATTTTCACATGGCCTGTGAACTACACGCCGAGCCTTATGATTTCGCAGACGCAAGTCAAATTTCTCGATTGGATGAATGGGAGGACGAGTTGACCAACGATCGATGTCTTTGGCATTGAAGAAGAGGTTGAAAATCATTTTAGGTCTTTGGACGATGTTAGTGCACCTAACCCTCATCAACCTATTGTTCAAGAACAAAATGCCCTTGTCAACCCTACGTCACTGAGTAACCATCATGAACAAAATACTGTTCACGAAGAACATCCTCCTGTTGCAGAGAACACTCCACCGCCACCCGCAGGAGATGATAATTTAAATGCAAATATTTCCTCCGAAGGAGAAGGCAGTTTACAGCCGAACGAAACGTCGGGCCCCAATACAGATCCCGCACAATCCGCGCAACTACAAACTTCAATTGATCTTCAAATTAATTCAATGCAAGAACAAATTAAAGCTCTGTGAAGGTTTCAAATAATGTCACGCGATCGCCGGTTACTGCTCAATACCCTATTGTCCGCTCCTTTGATGGTTGAATCGGTGAGTTGAAATATCAGTCGCAGAAGCCCTTTACAAGCTTGAAGCAAGTAAAAATATACCTATCCTCAAACTCACCGCATTCAATGGAAATCCGTTGCGTAACGTGGAATTTATTGAGCAAATTAAGATCCATATTCACGATAAACGCCACTTAACAGATGACATGCGTATGGTCCAATTAAAAATGCACGTCACTGGCGATGTCGCACGCACTATATCTGGCCTTGGATCCAAGGCATAATCTACGCTACGGCGCTTAAAACACTTAAAGATCATTTTGGACAACCGAGTGTAATTACTAGAGCATTTATAAGCAAGATAACTGAGAGGAAGAAAATCCATCCGAACCACAGACAGTCCCTTCGTGACTTTTCCATAGACATTATTAATTGCTTAGCAACACTGTGGCAGATTAATTACTTTGCTGACGTAAACGCGAACGATAATCTGCGAAAGGTTATTAGATCCTTGCCAGATGGCATTATCAAAAAATGGAAAAATGTGGCCACCGATATTCGGAAAAAAGGAGAAATTCCTCAAATACAGCACATAAGCAATTTCATCAGAAAGAGAGTGAAAGCCGAATTCGACCCCGATTTTGGAGACGTATATAAGAGCGAAGTCTTCAAAGAAAGGAAAGGAATCCATTCTAATCAGAGGGTTCCCGGAAAAAAACCAAAGTGTTTTGTCTGTCAGGGCGAACACAGAGTTGAAGAGGGTACAACCATGGCCGATTGTACCATTGAGGAGAGAATCAAACACGCAATGGACAACAGACTGTGTTTCTCTTGCCTTGTTAGAGGACATCCCATTAGAGAATGCAGATCAAAGAACGAATGTGGCAAGAATGGCTGTACTCAAATGCACCATCCAATTCTCCATGCAGACCCCCCGGTACCAACCAAGAGCAGAATGGAGTTGCATCTGTTTTGGATAACAGAAGCATTATGCCAGTGGTACGCGTAAAATTCAAAGCCGAAAATGGAAGACTCCGAGAAGATAACGTCCTTATTGATAGCGGCGCTGGTACTACAGTCATACGAAAGGATTTTGCCAGAGCCCTTGGTTTACAAGGAAGATCTGAACCCATTGACCTAGCTGTAGTTGGAGGAAAAAGGGTTGAACAAAAGAAGAGCAGAAGATTGAAATTTTTTATTTCCCCACTAGGCAATGAACAGGAATTTAAGATCGAAGCTCATGAAATCGATAACACAATAGTGAATGTTCAAGCACTAGACAGACCATGACTAAAATCATTTCCTCACCTCCGAGATGTTCATTTCTCGCATAAGGCAGGACCAATCGATTTAATCTTGGGAGTCCAGTACAGCCAACTCCATGCAGAAGAAGAGGTCCGTCAAGGCTTGCCTTTCAAACCAGTTGCAAAACGTACGTAACTAGGATGGCACGTGATTGACGCTAACAAAGCAAATGGTGACCTTCAGATATGTTCACTTAGGTTAGTCCAGAAGATTAATATGGTGCGATTTTATGCCTTTGAAACCTTAGGAGTACAGGCACCTTGTTCATGTCCGAAGACAACGATGACTAAAGAAGATAGAAAGGCTATGGAATTTTTCGAAACCTCCTGCGCGAAAGAAGAAAACCGCTATGTCATAGGTTTACCATGGAAAAAGGATCTCAACCGTCTTCTTAACAACTACGCGTTGGCAGGTCGAGGACTGGAGTCCTTGGAACGAAGTTTATCCAAAAATAAAACCAAGGCCAAAATGTATAATGATGCAATCGAACAATACATAGTGAAGGGATGGGCTCGTCCTTTATCAGAGGAAGAGTTAAATCAAGATACCAAGCCCGTTTACTACCTTCCGCACCATGGTGTCTATCGCTCGGATAAACCAAGTAAACCAATCAGAGTGTTCTTCGACCCCGCCTGTAAATACCAAGGAGTTTCTCTCAATTCATTCCTTTGCAAAAGACCTTGCCTCATAGGAAATTTGTTGGGCGTCATAATACGCTTTCGCGAGGATCCTGTTGTATTTGCGGGGACATTTTTTTGTATCTACAGATCCTTCTACCAGAAAAGGACACTCATGTTCATCGCTTTATCTGGCGAAATCTCCAGACTCAAAAACCACCTACCATAAACGTCCTTTCAAGAGTGACATTTGGTGACAAACCATCACCTGACATGGCCAGTTACGTAATGTTGCACATCGCTTAGGAAAATGAGGAAGAGTACCCAGATGCAGCAACAATCTTACGCCGAGATCGTTATATGGATGACCTCATTCACTCTTGTTCGACTCCTCAGGAGGCAGTCAATCGGATGACAGCCCTTGATCAAGTTCTCGCAAAGGGAAGTTTCCAAATAAAAGAATGGTATTGCTCGTTTCAGCTCAAGAGAACAAAAGTGATCAAAGGTCCCCTTATTGAAATCAAGGAAGGCACCGCCCAATCCCATCATCACCAAGGCGTACAAGTGAAAGAAGTTAATTTAGATGGAGAGAGAGAAGAGCTTATCAAGACCCTTGGAGTTGGCTGGAACCCTTCAAAAGATACCTTGAGCTTTACAGTGAAAGATCTTCGACTGAAAGGAAAGTTCACCAAGCGAACAGTCTCATCAAAGATCTCTCAAATTTATGATCCTCTTGGTTTAGCTTCAGCAGTCACTATTAGAGCAAGAGTCACGCTTCAAGAAATCTGGAAAATGAAGAAGTTTGACTGGGACGACCCATTGCCTGAGGAAATAAAGAATACGTGGATCAAACTTTTCGCAGACATCGAAAGCTTACAGCACGTGGAATTTCCAAGATGTCTCAAGCCATCTATCACAACAGGCCCGTCTGAACTGCAAGTATTCGCAGATGCCAGTATCAGTGCTTATGGGGCAGTTGCGTACTTTTTTATGGCCTACTCAAGACATCCCTGAGGTTCGCCTAGTTTCTGCAAAGGCAAGAGTAGCTCCACTTCGCCAGAGTACGATTCCGCGACTTGAACTAATTAATGGCAGCCCTCATCTCCTCAAGACTCGCCGAGACCGTTTACGAAGAATTCAAAGTAAAACCCGAAACTGTACAATTTTGGTCCGACTCAAAGATAGTGCTACACTGGCTTCGCTCCGACTCAACGTGTTTGAAAGCATTTGTGGGTGTTCGTATAGCAGACATTTAGTCAAACTGGGAGCAAACGAATTGGAGATATGTTCCCACTGACCAGAACCCAGCCGATGACCTCAGTAGGGGACTACCTACCGAGCATCTTGAAGGAAGGTGGAGGGAAGGTCCGTCGTTCCTTAGGAGACCCAAGGAAGAATGGCCCATATAATCAGTTCAATCAGTTGTCGAGGAAGACTCACAGAAGAAGGAATCGAACATTAAACAGATTGGTGCAGTGGTTCTAGTGAATGAAGTTCTTAACCCGATCGAGTACTCTAATTGGCAATGGCTACTAAGGGTGACCGCTTACTGCATGCGTTTCCTTTCCAATGTAAGAAAACGAATTAGAAGACAGACATCTGGTGACGAGCCGTGTGACGGACAATTGGTGCCCGAAGAAATAGAGCAAGCTTAGCGTTACTGGATTGTTTCTGCACAAAGACAGCTCGGAACCTGGGAAGAGAGCTACAGAGATTTAGCACCCTTCGACAAAGAGGGCGTGATAAGAGTAGGAGGAAGGCTAAGAAACTCACCCCTGTTATATGAAGAGATTCATCCGATTCTCCTACCACGTACAGTGTATGAGTTTCCTGTTAGCTTCAATCTTCTACAGTATAATGCTTCGCTACAGATAAATATAGTACCTCAATGTAAAGACTGGTCCATCTTCTGCTTTGATTTAGCCAACGACCTTGTTCCCTGTAAAACTAAGTCCGCAAAAATTCGCCTTGAAAATGATGGGCTCCTGATCCCCGTTGATCACAGTTGATCACTAGATCAAAGTTCGATTGTTTTTAAGCGCGCACGCTGTAAAAATGGTCAGCAGTGATGTTCGAATTACAGGCCCTGTCGCAAGGCAAACCGATCCAACTGGGCGGTTTAATAATATTGAAATAACGGCCTTTTATCTTGGCAAGTGTTGGATTATGCATGTTAGCTTATTGTAATTATTTTTTATAGGAAGAATTTTCGTATTAAAAACATGTTTAACCTCTAGCGCAAAAGTTTAAGAAACGTCACTTGTTGCGCGACTGTTGGGCAGCACAATCGATCGGTTTTCTTTTTTATAACATAACGAAAACTTCGCAACGCTGATATCAGATCATCCGGTTGGATTCGGGAAACGATTTTAGGTGAGTTCTGCTTTTTAATCATTCTTAAGTAGTACTTTTTTATGGTAGATTACTTGCTAGTAAAGCGAAATAATCATATTTTCGCTGTTGTGCACCGGGGCACAGTCAGACCTTACCACGATTGCAGTTGATGTAAGAAATGTAAGCTTCCCGGTACACACGTGGCAGAAGCTGTGCGTGGTCTCTGTTAGTTTATTTTTAGCCATTCACTTTTACGGAAATGATGTTTGATGGGCATGAAGATATTTTTTGTTTCCAAACGACAAATCAGTCTCGTCGACGAACGGATTCACTGGGAAAAAGCAATATGGATCAGAACCTTGACCAGAACATAAATGAAAGACGTATTGTTTAGACTTCGGATGTGCATGTGACCAAAATGAAAGTAGTGTTTGTCACAGGAAGTCTCACTATTCTAACCTTGAAATTGTTTAATAGTCCCATGTTCTCATCAATAAGCACTAGAGCATATTATTTTCCCTCAGAGTAGGGAATTCTTTTTTTAAATAGGGGAAGAAGTTGATCTTTGTTTACACCACTGTAGCTGGCTTAGCTAGGGTAGAACAGTTGAATTACAGTGTACTAAATTTTTCCGGGACCCTAAATGCATATGGTTGTCTCTGCTGATGCAACTGTTCAAAATTCATTTCAACAAACCTGACAACAGTTATGGAAAATAATTTATAAATATTATGTACTAAAACAGATTGATTACAAACATGCCAGGGTAAGCAGGGATGTCTCGAGGACCGTTAATGTACAATTTTTGAAGCTTATCTAGTAAATTCCCTAAGATTTTCTGAACTGTGATTTTTCCCATTTCACTCCCCAGTTTAAGTTATTTTCGTAGAGAAAGAGCTAGAAAGGAAACCTAAAATTTTTGAAATCAAAAATGTGATACAGAGAGGAATCAGAAAAATTCTTACTTTCGTAAAACTTTTTAAAAATTCCAGCGAAAATTTTCAGGAGAATAATTCTGAAGCCCTTATAATTTCGGAAAGATTCAAGTTGCCCTAGGATGACTGAACAGATGAAAATTTCATTTCTATGAATGAATACATTTCTAGAGATCTAAAAGTGTTCTGGATAACCTAAAAAGTGTTTTCAATGCATTTAGGAGGAAACCGTCGTTGGGAACCCCTGATACAGTCCAGTAAAAAAGTGAGCTTGAATACTTAAAAGGCCCGCTTATCTTTTCCTTAGCATCATCCCTGGGTAAGCATACCCCTATGCTTAGTGGCTGTTTTGATACGAAGTCCTTTCATATACAAGTTGTTTCGATACAGTTTCGTTCCTTCAACGTGTAGCACCACCAACAACAGTTACAGTTTATTCAATTATCAGATAATTTAAGTCT